CTTTTTTTTCTTTTTCACAAAAAATACGAACATCTTAGTTGCTATATTATATTTCCGTGGCGCCCTTGCTTAAATCCATTAGGCTAGATCTTTAGTCGTATAATTCACGCAACTAGTCGACATGGAAACGTTCTAAAATCGTCTTCGAGCTTCCGTCCTTTTCGTTACGCCTCGGAAAACGCATCCGTTTGAACGACCTTCTTCCTCGAGGATAACGAATATTCGTCGATCTCTTTCTCGCTTTTTATACGAAGAAATTATCTATTTTTCCAGGAGAATGCTTTTTATTCTCAGCTATATTTCCTAGAATTTTTATCTTACGCTATCACTCTTTTTCTCTCTTTCTCTCTCTTTCTCTCTCTCTTTCTTTCAATCTATTTCCATCTTTCTCTTTCTATTACTCAGCCGGTATAATCGAGCGAAACGTCGTTGAGCTGCGCGCGCGTATAACTGTTCCGTTCCGTCCATCCAAAATAGTCTGGGAATCAAAAGTGGGTTAATCTCAGTTCGGTTATTTTCCCACGTCCGATTACGCGAGAACTGAGTTCATCCTCACCCTTGTAAGCTCCTTCCTTTATTTTTGCTTTTTTCTTAGAATAAAGTTTCGAAATATAATCATAGTTACATAGAAAGTATATCGCGAAATTCAAAAATTGGCATGGTATAGTTGGTCGGAATATGAATATAACAATTTTTTAATATTCCTTACTTGATTTTGCTTGCAATTTATTAATGATACGATTTTTAATGATACTTCTAATTATTTTCAATGAGAGGTCAACAAAGTAGTAAGCATTTGTAATACAAACATCTTTTGTGTTAATATTGGATGTAAATATTTCTATAAATATATATACCGTTATGCAAGAACTTCAGCTCCCCTATGAAATTGACTAGGAGTTTAAGAGCGCGTAATTAAAACCTGATTTAAATTCAAATATTCCAAGCAATATTGAGTTATTAATTTGATTCATTTAAAATGGCAATTTAAGTTGCAATGTAGTAGCACTTAATTGCTTTTTTAATACTTTTAGAAGGCCAATGGAAATATATAATCGTCGTTTTAATAAAAAAATCAAGAGGATTGCTTGGCCCCTTCTTATGGAAATATTCTATTTGAACAAATTGCGCAATCTTTCCACTTATCCAATAATTTTTTCTTTCCACATTATACTATATAAATAAATAGCCATTTAGTTAGGCATTTAAAAAAAGTTTACTCAATTGAAATCCAATATAAATTTCCGATAGTACTATCAAACTTGAAGAAGAATTTCTAAATTCTTTTCATAATTAAGACCATTAATTTTAAAGGCTAAAACTTTACTTTACTTTACTTCTTTCTTTGACATTCTTCAAGGACTCTTATTTTCTCTTTTGGATCCCTTCGAATACCAGTTATTAAAATTTATTTGCTCTTGAGTTTTCTTCGATTAGCAATAATGTAATATTGTTTGCTTTATCCGTCCCTTCGTTATATTTTGAAATGTTTGCCTTTTCAAACTAAGGCGAGAGAATTTTCGTCGTCAGTAACAATGATTATTAATCATTTTCTGGAAAACGTACGAGATACCTTAAATCACATAGAACCATTTAATTCCGTCGATCGATGGCTGCCGATATCGTTTTGTTCTAGGGACAGTAAAATCTCTCGTCCGTACTTCGTAACTTAGAACGAAAGAGTGATGTAGTGATAGTAGTGGTAGTGGCTATTAGAAGAGAATGAGCATTCTCGTTAAACTTCAAGTGTTCGTTCTTTAGTATTGACGTACTTATACAACTTTATTTCTTTCTCTTTCGTAGTAGAGAATTGATCATTCCTCATGACGGAAGTTAACGTAGATATATTATTGCAAGAAGAAATTTATCATTGATATTCGACTGCTTTTATCTCCTCTGTAAAAGTTTCTAGTTCTATCTCATATAAACTGGTAATAATGATCGTTTGAATAGTTTTGTTATGTTGTATATAAATCGAATTTGGGGGATGAAAATTAATGGCTTTCATTATCAAATTATAACTACTTTGTTATGGTATGCGATAGCAAACAGTATTATTTGTCACGAAACCTATTTACTATATACATATATCTATGTAATACAATAATTCATTTGATCATCGCATAACTATATAATAATACATTATTAATTTCATCTCTTATTTGTACTACACTCTCTGTTTCCCATTTATTCTCCCTAATTATCAATTTGTTCCAGCTGTTCAACGATACTAACGTATACGTATCTTTATCCAGTATCGATAATAATTCTGAGAAAAAAAGAGAGAGAGAGAGAGAGAAAAAAAAAATACGGATTTCAAATCGAACGATTCTCATATCCATTTCTTTTTGTTGGAGAAAAAAGTTCTTTGTAAAATTCAAATGCCAGAGATTCAATGTTAGGGATCCGTTTGAGAAAGAGACTTGGCCATATGGTCCAACATAGATTTCTATCGATTATTATGAAAATGGGATACCAAGTTGCTAGTTGCTTCTTCTTTGAATTACACGTTAGGAATATCTACTTATATGAGTATATTGTTCATAACGATTATGATATTGCGAATCACAAGTGATACGTGAGACTATCGTATAGATCTAAATAATATACTATTACATACTCCTCACTAATAAGAATTCTATAAAAAATACTTTGTTGTAAATTCACTTTGATAGTTGATATTATCTACAGATATTTACGTTTAAAATTGAAATTGAAAATAAAATAAATGAAAGTCAATGTCCACATCTTGCCTTCCCGCGAATTAATTAAAAATGTCAATCTTTCGTTCGCTTACTTCTTCAAGTTTGACATTTCCAATTTCTTTCTTTTTTTGTATAATCTTAATAGACTATCATTCTTTTTTTTTCGGTTATTGTACTCGACCGAAGTTGGTCCAGAAAAGCCGGGTCATCTTTTAAATAGTACTTCACTCTTGAGATGTCAGCGTTGCGTACTTTCGAAAGTACCTGTTAAACTCTAAATATTTACACGCCTCGAAGGTCTTCCCGTCGAAGTTTTCTTCTTCTTACCTCCATATAGACTTATCTCCATGTTCTGGAACTCGAAGATGGGGAGACCGATCCGACGTTCAAATTCAAGCGCGTATTAAACTTTCATTTCTTAGAATGCTTCCTTCCACGTGCTATTTTACTCCAAGCGAAAGAAAATACTCAAGTCTCGTCGTTTTCAGAAAAGGATACGATTTCACTGAATCACGAGGTTCGGTTATATAGGTAGCTATATTACATACCTACATCTACTGAGTGCACTTTCTTCCTAAGTGGCAGAAAATGTTTCGCGACCGTACCGAAACTTTTAGGGAAAAGGAAAATGTTCCTCCAGTTATTGACGATTTTATTTTTCTCGGTTTCGACGGTACATTTACTATGAATAATATTATCATGTTTCCATAACTCATAGAAAAATTTCAATCTAGCTTAACGTTAGTTGTGATATGACGTAACTGTAGTAATGAATCGTATGGCATAGGTTTTCGATATTATGTTTGATCGCGAAATTTTCGAATCTACAAGCAACGAAATCATCAAGCAGAGCATCGCTGAAGCATCGTTCAACACATCACGACTCAACAACGAACGACAAAGCAACACGTTTCGTAGGATACGCAACAACGGCATTATTTACGATAAATAAATAATATAGTACCGAGCAAGGCACCGGCACCTCAACAACGTCTTCATTGGAATTTATTTATTTCGTAAATTATCAACGAAGATTTCCTAAGAGAGCTGCTAAAAGAGTTATTCAGATACAACAAGGTTGTCATTTATATTTATATACCTATACAATACCGATTCCGAGAGTAAGTTAAATTTTTCCTAAATTATTTTGAAAATGAAATTCGAAACGATTAAGATTTTTATCTCTGAACAATTCAGATTGTTGGGAAAAAAATTTTGAAATTATTTTTCAAGAAAGAAAATAAGTAACCATATCGAAAATAGCAATTATATAACACTCTTCAAAAGCAAATGAAATTCTTTTTAACTTATCATCACATTCCTCTCATTTACTGTATTACTCGGTATGCATCAGTGTAATTGTTTTTCTGTTAAAAGAACGCAAAAGAATGCTTTAGCAAAAGTGAAAGAATAAACGAAGTAGTAGGAGTCGAGACTACGAGTAATGTGATATAAAAGCGCGGGCAAGAGCTTTTAATATTGAATAAGATTATTTTCTTGTATTATTTTTATTTAGTTACTTTGCTTTGTTGTTTTACCTAAGAAAATAAATGTACGCGGTTATAGTAAGAGATCAAAATTTGAATATTCTTTAAAATTAAATAAAATATTTGAACATATTTTTTTTTTTCAAAATAACATTAAACTTTTGTTGAATTTTGTAATGTGACATCGTTAACGAAGATCAAATAGATGTATATAATTGCCTATGCAATATTTATAATCTTGAAATTAAAAATTGATATTTTCATTCACGCGACAAACTCGACAGTTATCAATATTAAATTAGAAAAATCATAATTCCGAGAAAATACATTTTTTATTTTTAGATTGCGGTATATCATTTCCCTTTGGACTTACTTCGAATATCTGATAGGGTTGGTAAATAATTCAAAATTTGGATAAAATGAGTACGTTAGGTCTACCATAGAGAAAACGTGAAGGGCGTCCTCAGTTGTTTCTCGTATATCGAAGATACGTCAAATTGTAAAGCTGCTTTGAATCTATAATAACTAGTGTGTCGACTAAACGTGCATCATCGATATCCTTTAAATAATGTTATAGGATAATTAAACTTTGGAAAGGTGCAGTCAACAATTCTCTTCAAAGATAAACGATTGTTTGAGTTTATCATAAAGATTAAGGAATATAAAAAGTTAGAACCTGGTATTATCTCGGTCGAAGAATTTCCAAATGCTTTTATTTTCTTCCGTCTTTTTCTTCTCTATTACTTTTATTTATTTATTTATCCTTTCCTGAGGCAAAGTAAACTTTCAACTTTCAGCAATGTTAATAAAAGTTAAAACTGAATTGCGTTTTCGTTCGAATAAACCAAGAAGGAAATATTCTCTCCTCTTTTAATTCATTAAATCACCGGACCTCAAGATTTGGTAGAGTTCAAAGTAAATCCAACCAAGCTAGAACGCAAGGGAGGCAACGTTTCAACGGAATCACGTCAAACTCGTGACATCTTTTCAGAGTGATTCAAACGGAATTCACTGGTACCAAGTAAGAAAGAATTCAATTGTCTAAAATGAGATAGGAAAAAAGGAAGGAATGAAGAAGGATAAAACGAGAGAAAGGTGATTAGAAGTGGTATTAGAGGTAAGTAATCGAAGTAGTACGTACGTAAGAGAAAAGGAATAAAATGGTAAAAAGAATGAGAATAAAAGGGAAAAAGGAAAGAAATAAATAAATAGGAAAGAGTAAAAGAGGATATATCGAGTCTTGTTGATTCCAGGTCATGTCATCGTCTTTCTCATCGTCTTTGTCAGTGGTAGCATTGGTCTACGAATCGAAGAAGAATACCGGCCGTTGGTGGTTTTGAGGGTGTGTTGGATAGAATATGTGGTAGGAGGGTGAAAGAGAGAAACGAAGAGAGAAAGAGAGGTGGGTGGTGAGAAGGAAAGAAGAGGGAGCAATGTTACAGAGGCATGAACACCAGGTGGCGCACGTACCAGCAAGAAAATCGATACTTATCGTCTCGGGGAGTACAGTCGTGCGTCTTCCAGTACGCGACTCGTGTGCACGAGGTAAACACGGCACCCTATGCCAATTAGAATGGAATGATACGTAAAGAGTGAGAGATTATTTCGTCGCTTCCAGTCAGCTAGATCGCAGAGTCAACCGAAGACATGGTACGTTCTCGGAACAAAGATCGATTTGTCAACTCTTCCCGATCACCGTTCCGATCTTCTTTCGATATCTCGAACACTCGTTTAACGCGTCGTGAATAGGTGGTGGGAGGGAAGAGGGGGCGGGAAAGGGGCGAGAGGTCGAGCGGTGAGAAAGATGGAGAGGGAAAAGGGAGAGGGAGACACGGAGAAGGAAAATTATTTTTAACGAACTTTAAATGAAAGAAAAAGAAAGAAATAAAAAGAGGATATAGCTTAGGACGACTTTAACGTTGACTCGAATCACTCATGAAAACTGTGTCGCATGTGACAACTCAGGTTTAGCTTTGTTCATTTAATTACATCCCTCGAGTAGAGCGTTTCAAACGATCATCCCTCAGTGATTTTCATATTTTTCCCTCCGTTTTTAATCGAATTCTCTTTTTTCTTTTTTCTTTTTTTTTCTTATCTCTTTTATGCTTTTTTTTTATATGTGCAGTACGGTTTCGTGAATTACGCTCTCGAGCTCCTCGTTGTGAAGAACTTTGGCAGCGAGACGTGGGATGAAATAAAGTAGGTAAAATGTAACAAAATACAAAAAAGAAAATATCCAGAAGAGCTAATTGAGATATCGTTGTTTTCGGCATCAAATGGAAATTTATTCTGCATGAGATGATTTTAGTATTTACCTTTATCGCTTGTTTACATGTATCACGTTTATCCTCTCTTCACCTTTTTAGACACGTAGCAAGCTCGTTCGATTCTCGTTTTTCTTCGTTTTCACAGCACGTCCTGGATAGATCGAATGTATTCCTTCTTGTTCCGACCACGTGCTTTTCAACTATCAATGTCGTTTATCGGTAAGATCGATGCACCTCGTTTTCTTTCGTAATTTCATAAAAGCCACGAAGACGATTTTTCTTTCAATTTGCCTTTTCTAGCTTCGCTCGAACGGATCTGTTGATCTTTTTTTTCTACCACTTTCACTTAATGAACAATGTATATAGAACTTGTAGAAATCATTACTGGTTAAGCGAACTCAGTGCTTAAATTGATTATCTAGGAGCTATTTAGATTTAAAGTAAAATAAAGGAAACTTTAAGAAGAAATCACCTTATAAATGAAATTTCTATATTCTAATTGTAATTATGTATTATAATATACTTCTTTTTATATTGAAATAGTTTCAACAAAATATTCGATTCATTTAATGTTTATAAAATGAGAACGTTATATAACATAGTCGGAATATTAATATAAAACGAAAAAAATATTGACGTGTGTAAAATTTTAATGTTATACAATATCGTCGGAATATTCATATAAATGCAAATAAAATTATGGAAGTTTTTTTTAAATTTTTTCGAAGAAAAAGAAAAGGAAGACGTAGGTTATACAGGTAAGTAAATGACACTGTAAATTAGCTCTTTTGTATCGTATTAATATTCTTATCACTTGCACACACTCAACACTCTTCATGCTTGCGCAGTAAATTGTTGTTTCTCTAGTCTATTTAATACCAAAATTATGAATTAAAGTTTTTATCAATATACAATATTAGGTCATTGCATATAAAGAAACTGGCTAGGTTGTTTATTACATTTAATTGTTGAAGTTTCAAATATCGTAATAAAATGAATAAACAATATTAATTTTATATAATATCTTTTTAAACACAATGATATCAACTTGAAAAGAATAACTTAAGCTTTTTCACGGTAGTCTTTATTGTTTCGAGTACTTATTGTATCCAATATTATGATTCTTTGTATTTGATGAGCTTCAATCCTTGAATGTAAATAACACTTGTGTCTTTTTTTTACAATCATATCCATTACTTTTCTTAACTGTAATATAATTTTCTTAAAGTATGTTTGTTTTGCTACTAAAACCGTTAAATTTCCGTTAAATTCATTAAAATTCGAAATTTTGTTTGCAAAAGGTAAAACATCATTTAATAAAGTTTGTTTTTTATCTTTTATAAAGTTTAATAAAGGAGTATAGAGATTGTTTGTGATATTACCTTTTAAGTTAATACGTATAAAATGCAATTTATTTTTCTGAGCATAAAGCGTTCTTAAGAAAGAGCAAATGCAGTCGTTAAAGTTCGAATTACAACCAAATGAACGAAAGATTGCATTACACGAAACCTTTCAACTCTTAGCACATTGCCTAAAAGCTCGTTCGTTTGTCTCGTTTTTCTTCAAACGAAAGACGATGCCATTATTCTCGAAATCTCTCGTCGATACTTTTACTTTTTTATACGTCTCAACAGAAAATCCCATCGTTTACTCCATCTGGTTATCCACCTACGACTGTCGAGTCTGTACGAGGGATTACGGGGTATTTTATTTTAAACGCTTTAGCTGAACTATTCAATTTCTACAAAGGGTTGATTAAAAACAGTAAAATAAAGAAAAAGAAATTTAACGAGTAAAGGTAATTGTAAATTTTACGAGAAAATATCCTTTTATTATAGATCACTTTCTAATTTTATTTACTATGATTATTTGAAGCGCTTTTAATTATTTTAATGAAATTATTCCATTGAGAGAATCTTTAATCAGACTTGCTGTATACTCTTGTAATTATAGACTACTTCAAAATATCAAAATATCTTCGAGAAAGTTAAAATGTCAATGAAGTTTTTTTATATTTACCGAAAGTGGAATATCATTTTAAGATAGCTTCAAGTAAAATATTGTTTTCCTATCTTTATTAAATAACTATTAATTCTATTTCCATAATTACAATAATATCTACGATGAATCTCATAATAAAACAATCTTATGAAAAAACAATGAAAACATGTATTATATTTTCTTAGTAATAGAAATAATATTAATTCATAACATTATTATAGAATCAAATTAGCATGTATATGTTTCGATAGCTTTAGGACGTGTTGGAATAGTTTGCTATAATAATAATAAACGAGCAAATTTATCTCTTGTATATTTTCTATGTTAAGAATTAATTAATGATTTAATTGGGACTAGACAACTGGAAGATTAAATAATAATATCTAATTAGTAATTTTATTATAATGAAGGTTGACATAAATATAGTTATTATCATTATATCGATTGATATTTTCAAGAAGTGTTCTAGTTTTGAAGAAATCTTAATAAGACTTGATTTAGTTTTAATTGGAAGGAATTGTTACGTAGGGCGACAACAATTTTCACGTACCCTGTGTTTCGCCATTGTACTGAAAATAGAAGTTACCCTGAAACTGAAATGCTACGAAGGCACTTAGAGGCTCATATAAGAGGGTCACTTTACTCAGCCTAAATGAGGTTTCACGGTTGCTCTCTCGGCAATGGCATCGTGTTTGTAAATTGCACGTCTTTATTTCGAACTTCTTCTTTACTTCGAATATTATAATTTGATTATATTTCATTTAAACATTGTTTTTATCGAATTTACGATTAAATATCAAAGTTCATATTTTCTTATAAAGTTTTTACTTGTTTTAATTGGTATCCAAGTAAAGAATTCAATTAATTATATAGATTTTATAAAATTATGTAAAGCTTTTGAAAATAATATTTAAAATTAAATTACATCAAAGAAATAGAATTATATTAAACAAATAAATAGAAAAAATATGTATTTAAATAAGAGGGTTTAGATTATTAAAATATTTGGCTTTGCTAGAAAATGTACAATAAACAGTTAAAATAAAATGAAACATACATAAATGTTGGTACATATTTATCGATGCAAAAGGAATAAAATTTTATTTTAAACGAACTTAATATTCCTAGCGCTCTACATCATGCTTTCTTTATTATTTACTAGAGGGCTCATGAATAGTTGTTATTGCCTCTTGTAATTCGTTTACTTTTCATAGTTTATTTAAACGTGAATATAATTGCTAAATACTATCTTGTTTGCACGTTTTACAACCTATCTCTTATATTTTATTGCTTATATATGTCATTGTTAATCTTCCTCTACGTTTAATTGCTCTCATAGGTATGCTTATATGAGCAAATTAAATTCCCACATTTTTATTGCTCCAGGAAAGATGCTGCCATTAATATGGATGGACAATTTCTAGTACGACAAATTTATGACGATGAAATTACTTATAATCTTATAGGAGCGGCTGTCAATCGATTGAGTATGTATATTATTTTTTTAACATGATCAATATTTATAATCGTGTTTAACAGATATATCAATATTTTTCAATCACCTGTGATTCTATTTTAATTAAAGTATTTTATATACAGATATCTATTTGATATTGTTCAATTATTCAAATTTATTATTCAAATCAAAAAATTGCGGAGAATGGGAACAAACAGAATTATATATTATTTATACACAATAATATACGTAATGTTTGATGTAGTATGGTATATTACCATCCCATAATTAGTCATGCAAATATGTAATAATTAACTATATTAATAATAATGATGTCACCGTATAAATAATTAAACCAAATACATGCCTTATATAATAATGAACCAATTCATGAAACAGAAATGTGTATGGGAGTTTAACTGTAATAATCTGTTGCAGCTGTAAACAAGTTCTATAGTCACTAAGTTTATTTCATTTCTCAGACATTCCTGCAAATGATATATTGGAACTTTTCGGTCGAATGTTCTTCGACTTCTGTCAGGATTCTGGATATGACAAAATCCTTCAAGTTCTAGGGGCAACACCCAGAGACTTCTTGCAGGTAAATTAATTCTCAAAAATTGACGATTTTCTAAATTAATAATAAATTATAATAAAATTTAGAGAGAGAGAGAGAGAGAGAGATAGAGTTGGTTTTGAGAGATCATAAATTTTGTTTCTTTTCAAAGTGTATGTATTTTTAAAAATTAATTCCATTGACATGATTCTCATATTTTTGATGTATTCGTGATAACGATGATATGTCATAATTCGTCTTGATACTTCTCGTCTAACCGGTTCTTCGTTAGGACAAGTCATCCATTGTTCTTGCAAGTATTAGAGACACATCGGTCAAGGGGGAAGATTTAGAAAAAAGATTCTATTTGGATAAACGAGTCGAGTCAGGCAAGCAATTTTTTTAGACTAAACAAACGTTTTAGAGTAAAAAAAAGGGAGAGAAAAAGGAAGAAAAAGAGATAATATAAGATAAGAAAACAGGTGAAACCCATTAAGAAGCTTCTGCTCGCTCGGATTTTTTATTTCCAGCTGTTATCACACGCGGTTTCACGTTTTAGTACTCTACGTTCTTGTCATAATGTTTGAAAAATCTTATTTTCCTCTCATCTTTTATACTGTTTCAAAAATGTCGTGCTCAATCATTTCCATGATCCGTTCTTTTCAGAAAAACGACTTTAGACATTTTTCTACCTTGCTAATAGTATGTCATAGAATCATTTCTTTGAATCTTTTCTTTCTTTATATTACTATAACCAATAGGATTAAATATCCTTGTTAATTATTATTTCAAATTGTGAATAATGTCTATTATATAAAATATATCAAATATTGAATTAGTTTAAATGAGTTATTATAAATACGAGAACACGTATTTCGAAGATAAGCGTTTTTGTTATTTTAGAATCTAGATGCTCTTCACGATCATTTGGGTACTTTGTATCCTGGAATGAGGGCACCATCTTTTCGATGTACAGAAAGACCAGAAGATGGTGCTTTGGTATTGCACTATTACTCGGATCGACCGGGTTTGGAACACATTGTTATTGGAATTGTTAAGGTATATTCATATATCTACTATTATATTATATCTACTCATTTTTTATACGAAATATTATAGAATTTCATATTATGTTAGACGAGACAATTTTTTTGTTACGTAATACGTCTTTCCATCCGCCTATAGAGTATTATATTGATGCATAATGTTATGTCATGTTTCCTGAAAATATCTAATCAAATATTCTCAATTTCATATAGAAATGTAGAATAACTCTGCTTGTTCTTTTTTTTTTAATCGAGGGAATGTAGGTATTTTATAGACGTTGAAGATTTGAACACTCGCCAAAACCATCGTTAAAAATATTACAGAAAATATATGTATGTAATATAACATGTTTTGCGATGGAAAAAGAACATAAATATAGAATTTTCTATTCCGCAGACCGTGGCGAAAAAGCTTCACGGGACAGATGTGGATATGAAGATCCTAAAGACGAAAAATGAATGTGATCACGTGCAATTCTTGATAACCAATACATCGGGACCTGGTGTCGTTTCCAATTCTATGATCGTTGAACATGAAATGTTGTCTGCTGGTGAGTAAGATAAATTTCTTTCGAACATATATTTCCTATATGCGGAATGCAAAATTCCTATTAAATTAGAAAATCGATTTATCGTTAGAATTAATGGGACTCTCTGGCTCGCGACTATATAAAACGTGACGTTATGAAATTCGTTCAAATCATCAGCTCGCTTTTATTAAATCGATTCTTCAGACTGAATTTTTATTTTTTCCACGCTAAATAAAACATCAAAGAGCTTATTAAATTTTACTTGAATATGCATATGCAGATATATTTTTGCCCACACATTTTAAATATTTTAAATGCAGGATATATACAAATTTTTGATTGGTTGTCATAGAACCAAAGGTGAGCCCCACTACGTTTTGCAGAGTGTTTCCTTTCCATATCATGTTCGACCGGGATCTCACGATAGTGCAAACAGGCTACACCATCACTCGTATTTTACCACAGGTTTGCAGTGGTAATTGCAAATTAACCGACATACTCTTTGCCGTAAGTAAAAAATTCATATTTGCATCGAATAAAAGATTTGCAATTTCGATTTTTGTTAAACGATTTTTTATTCACATAATTTTGCTCGTCATTAAATATTGAATTAAAACATTGGTATGAAAATCATATTTCAAAATTGAGATTGTATCGCGTCCGTAGACGGTTTATTTGAAATATTACCTTATGATATTAATTTATAATTAATTTGCTTTTACTCGCTTAATTTCCTTGGCTAATTTTCGAAACTCGATCTTAATTGTTACCAAGTAACGAGCTAACATAATTGCGTCGTGTATTCCTCGTTGCCAAACCTCTCGCTCCTATAATTCATCCATATTCATGCTCACACTATCATACATCTTTCGAATTCAGTTAGAGATGTGACACGAACATTGTGTCCAGTCTGGTTACGTTATTACGTTTACGTATTAGGATCAGTTCGTTACTATATATTGCCTATAGACATAAATACGATATAAATACTCGATATTTTAAATTTTATTTTCATCTTATTTCAATACATTACTTGGAACGGAGAAAATCAAATATTTGTCATATGTTCTCTCTTATATTTACTCGTCTATATTCTATAATAATTTTTTTACCGAAATAAGATGCGTTCTATAAACAAATATATACTTTAAGATTCAAGTAGAGATGTCAGAAAATGTTTAAGTTATAAAAATTTTCTATAGATATAGATACACATAAATATCTATCCAATTTTATATTCACAATTAGTCTATACAGGACATTTCTACTCCATGCGAAAAGAGTTTTGATGGTCAATTATATTCCAGCGAACTGCATTATGAATTCTGGCACATTACTTCCGCACCCGATAAATAAATTCTCGCAAAACAAGGCTGCATAATGTCGTCGACTTCCTAGGTCAGGCCGCATTTGGAATTAACATTTGAAAACATACTGTCACACATAAACACTGTCTACGTGTTGAGGACTAAAAAGGGAATGATGCGAGTTGCATCCTCGGAAGAGTACGCGTATCTACGTCTTAAGGTTAGTAAAACGATTACAACTAATTTATAAAAATCAATATCACTTCAGAATATGGTTAATTTTGATAGTAGAAAAAGTAAGTGAAATTTGTATGGCTTAAGATCACTTAACGAGTTGAGTATAAATTCGACTCGACTTGACTTGTCTTTTTTTTATGAAGTCATTTTCTCGGTATCCATTACACCAAGTGATTGGATTTTCTTTCTTTTGTTTTTTCCCCTAAAAAGATAATAGTCATTTAAAACACAAATTACATTTGCATTCGCGCAAAGAAGCTTGATCGTTGAATGAATTACTAGCCACTCGAGAAATTTACATTTCTCGCTTTATTTCGTGACGAAATATTCTCCTTTTTTGTTAAAGGGTCAAATGTTGTACATACCTGAGAGCGATCTGACGATTTTCCTCTCTTATCCAAGTGTCATGAATCTTGACGACCTTACGAGGTAATAGATTATAAAGAATATACAAATAATGGATATATAGCTAGATTGTAAATCTTTGCCGATTACATCAGAATATCACAATTGCATGATACTCTTCGACTTGTTTGTCAGCTTATTACCTATTTAAGTTCTTTTCAAACTTAATACAGTCTATTTCTATGAAGGAAGAAGCATGATTTAGCAAGTAGTTTTGCCCCCTCCCAAGTCGAATTTAACTTTTATCCTACTCAAGAAGTAAAAACTTTCTACTTTCCTAAGGACATTATACCTGTGCTCATTCTTCTTTCTCTTCGAATCGCAACTGGTTACGCATACGTATCTACATATACATACAACATATGTAACTTTTGTACTTTTTAGAGGACTTCTTTTCTATGTCATTTAAAGTAGGAAAGAATAAGATGGAAAGAGGAAAAAATAACAAATTTAAAGTCATATATTTCTGTATTTAATGAATTTCTTATATGGAAAAATATCAAGTGACCATCGTCAATCGTATTTTTTATTATACATTCGTAAAAATATTTATTTGTAAATAAAAAAAATATATCTATAGTAAAATACGAGATAAAAGAAAATTATCAAGAAAAAAATTTGAAAAAGATTAGATAAATATATTTATTTTTGATTGATGTCATGTAGACGTGGTCTGTACCTAAGCGATGTACCATTACACGATGCAACGAGGGACCTCGTCTTGATGTCGGAACAATTCGAAGCGGATTATAAGTTGACAAGAAACTTGGAATTACTCACCGATAAGCTGCAGCAGACGTATCGCGAACTCGACGGTGAGAAGCAGAAAACCGACAGGTAAGGATTTCTGTTTGGGCCGGAACTTCCTGATAAAGGGATCCCTATCGGCCTCGTTCATCTATTTACCTTGAATGAAAATCACCTATAATCAACTCTTATCGTGTTATAAAATGTTCTTCCTCGGAAAATTACTTTTCTTTTTCTCTATTTCTATTTGTTTTCTATCTCTTTCCTTATTTTGACGGAAATATCGTTCATTTTGATTACATTGCAATATCACGTTTTGGAATAAGTCGTATCTATAAAAATGAAAATTACATTAATAACAGACCAATTATAATTGATAGAATAAGTAGTTTTTTACTTTTTATTATTAAAAAATTATTATTTTTATTATACTCATTGAAACTTTTGTCGGTAAAATATACAAAAAATCTCTTATAATTTATAGGTTATTATATTCTGTATTACCGATTTCCGTGGCGAATGAACTTCGACATTCGAGGCCAGTACCTGCAAAAAAATATGATTGCGTAACACTTCTCTTCTCGGGAATCGTTGGTTTTGGAGCTTATTGTGCGGCTCATACTGATTCTAGTGGTGCTATGAAGATTGTTAACATGCTCAATCAACTGTATACTGCTTTCGACGTCCTTACGGATCCCAAGAAAAATCCCAACGTTTACAAGGTTCAATAATTTCTTTAATCAGCTACGAGTTATAAACTTGTAGTAATAGTATTTGATTTTTTTCTCTGTGAGCAATTACAAGTTTTCAATTTGTAATCGAAATTTTCGAATAACGTTGGAAGAAACTTTATTTCATGATTATTTGCAGAATTGCTTCATGAAAATCAAAGAAATTGTAGATGTAATAAACAAATTAACAACAACGTTAATTTATTCGAAATAAAATCTATAATTCAGGTTGAAACAGTGGGCGACAAATATATGGCTGTGAGCGGATTACCGGAACCGTGTCGTTGTCATGCACGATGTATAGCACGACTTGCACTCGATATGATGGATCTTGCCGCAGATGAGGTACAAATCGATGGAGAACCTGTGGTTGGTATTTCTTTTTCTTTTTACTCTTTTATACAAGAAAATAATAATAGCACAAATAAGCAATAAAATGTATATTTCTAATTTTTTGGACATACGTAATATAATACAATATCTCAATGTTCGAAAAACTTATTGAAAATGTGAATGGATTTGATCGTTATATCGAAAAATGATAGCGTATTGTTTGTAATGAAATTGTTCGTAGAAAATCACCATCGGTATACACAGCGGCGAAGTTGTAACTGGTGTTATTGGACATCGTATGCCACGATATTGTTTGTTCGGAAATACTGTCAATCTTACAAGTCGGACGGAAACTACCGGAGAACCTGGTAAAATAAACGTTTCGGAGAATGCTTACAGGTAAAAGTATTATTACTTTTTATAAATACAATTCATAGAATTTTTATTGTTTATTAACGTGGTATCTTATTTCTTATTTTCACATGGTCATTCAATCATGAAAAAGTCCGTTATTCGTGGTATAAAAGAATTAGATGTATTGTTCTTTGATTTCATAGAAATCTGTTACAAGTATTAGTACTATACAATAATCGGTAACATTGTTAAAAGATTATTAATCGAAGAACACTTCACACTACAATCATGACCACACATTTCGAAAGTTTTGCATTATGTTAGTGGGAAGAACAATAATAGAATAGAGGATCTATCGTCGTAGGCTAAACGATTAGAAATTCATTGTTTGAATAATACGTTGCGCTTCAGCAAAATCTTCTGAAAATTCGTTGAGAGCCATTTTAAAAAAGATTATAAAAATTTCTTGCACCGAGTCATTGACCATCATCTGCGAATATTATCTCGTTCGACGAAGATAAAAATATTTTCTCGAAAGATTTTCTCTTTCAAAATATATTTTTCCATTTGTTTAATCCCGTAGATCTTTTCTCCTCGAGAAGTAGTTGCATTGTAGGTGAAAATTTGGAATTTTAAGAAATACGATTTAAAATTTGGAATTTCATTCGAAATTCAACTTCGTTCGAGCTAACGGATTTTATCAGCATTATACGTAGAAGCAAAGTAAAAGGCATCGACTTCCATCGAAAGTTATACGATCGACTTTTAAAATGGTCGTAGATAGATATATACATACACACGTGCACACATAAACGATATATGCGACTATAGCGAACTCGAAGGCAAACGCGGGAGAACGAAACGAGCGATTAAATCGTGTTGGGCGGTTCGCACCGAGGTAAGAGGCAATTATTTTTTCTGTTTTTTTTTTTTTTTTTTTTTTCTTCATTCGTCCGCTTTCTTTTTTTCTTTCAACTCTCTTTCATCGACACTCGCCATACCGTTCTCCGTAATGTTCTCAGCTTTGAGTTGCGTTAATACGTACATAGGTATTTACGTATATTTAGGTATGAATTTTCCAAAGGAAGGAGTGCACGCGTGTCGTAAGGTCGGAATATTACGCGCAATTATCGATCAGCTCGTACTATTGACGGGAAAGCCGTTTCCCTTCGCGTTTAGTCGCGTTGAAAATTCTCTATGATTTACGAGATCGTCGGTTATGCCGATATTACGGATAGTTTTCTCGTAATTTACACGTTATCCGTGTGCTTGACGCAAGTTACTTTAACTTACATCTGTTTCCTTTTATCATCGATCAATGACTAATAAACTTGAAAGTTTTTCTTCGATATATAACGGACAACTAATTACGAAAAGTGCCGAATTACCTTAATGGCGCGTTGAAAAATATTTACCAGCAAGTTCGAGTTAATTGTTTTATTCAAAGTTATAGATACCTATGTGTTGCAATAATAAATATCTTTTTTTTTACTTTTAATTCGTTTTAAGTCAAACTTTTTCATATAATTTTCGTTCAGGAGTATATTATGTACAAGATTTTTCTCAAATTTTCTAAATCTGATACACGCGCTTTAAATTCGTTCAAAGTTAGATAAACACAATTCCGTAATTCGAATAAGACTCTCAGTATTAAATTAATTACGACGCTTTAATCCAGAAAATAGCCCGAAGTATTAGGGAGATCAGCAGATTAGAAAGCTTTAGTTCATCGTACAGTTTTACCGTAATGGCTATAGAGCCGCATGATCGTCCATACTTTTCACAAAGAACTTGTCTTTATCGGTCCTAATGAATACCAATCAACAGATAAGGAGAATCTTTCTACCTCTGGAAACATTTATCTATCTCTTTTCTCGTTCCGAATGAGCCATCGCCGTAATCAACGACTTCCATAGATTCTTTTCCTTTTCCTTATTTATACGAAAGAAATATGAAATGAATTTCGATCAATCGCACATTATATCCAAATAATTTCTCAAAGTCTGGGGTATTTGAAGTTTTTGAATGCCGTGTGGAAGAGCCCAATTTCGAAACAATATTTCTCTTATACTACAACGACAAAGATGCATTAATTCAGGTGGACATAATCCGCTTCTTTCCGGTGGCACAAGATTTTGTTCCACAAGATTAGGGTAATGTTCGTACATAGCAACGCTAAAGACTCCGCTCTGAGCAGCTATATGAGTTGGTGTTTTTACATTTGCCATAGGTATAGTTCTTAGAAGTAATTTCAAACATATTATTAAATCTTTCGGAAAGTTCCTTTTTTCTTTAGCTGATGGAACATCGTATTCGTTCAATTTAGCAAGGAGAATTTCTATCGGTGAAGGTGCCAGCTTGTCCGATTCTATCGAAGCTCCATATCGCAACATTATCATAAGTATATCAGGTGCACCATGTTGAATCGCAACTCTGAGCGGAACAACTTGACCATAAGATTCCATTGGAACGTCAATGAAACGAGACTTTATAGTTGATGACGCGCAACGATATTCCAATTTGCCTTTAACTGCATGATCCATAAAGTATATCAACGCATTGATATTTTCCTCCCGATCTTCAAAGTCGCTTTTCCAACCGGATAAAAAATGCGTCACTCTAATACCAAATATAGCACCAACAAAAATTCTTTCAAATGTCTTCTCGCAATAGAATATGTCGTTTAACAAACGAGTAACTATATCGTTATTGCGTAGCTTCCAATCGAAACAAAGTTTAGCTGCTACATAAAGAACATTATGAAATTTTCCTAATAAACAAACTTGACCATTTTCCATCATGGTAATGTTGTGATAACGTAGAGCAGACTCTACTATTCTCTCGCAGACGTCTTGCTTGTCCAGTTTCTCCGCTGAATATACAAACAGAAGAATCTATATGAATTACTATAATAATGACATAATAATCATTAATATTATATATTTATAAAATCCCTAAAAGCAATTTCTCTACAATTCGAAAAGAGAAAAAATTATAGACGTTCATAAGATCGGATGTGAACGACTTCAAATTTACGATAATTGAAAATGATTATTGTTTATTCTATTCGATTCTTTTATCGTTCTTTGATGTGATGTAAAATCGCATATAAATAAAATGTAAAAAACACAAGTAATTATTAAACTTATTAAATAAGCATTTTTCTCTCTCTCTATCGTTTCGTGCGAAAAATAAAACTTTTATTTAATATCTGAAGGCAATAGGTGATTGATGAGTTAACAAAAGTTCAAACAATATGTTAAAATATTATTATCGTTTGGTATCGTTATTTTGTAATCTTTTTACGTCTAGAATCATGCCGAAAATATGAACAAAACAAGTTTGAAAAAATGCAGATTATCGATTATTGCGTTTGAATAACTTTCGTACGGATAAGAAATTTGATTATATAAACACGTTTGGATTAAATTTATTTGGAATATTAAATTTAAGCTTGTCTCTTATCGATTATTGAACTATTTTTCCTGATAGTTCTTAACTTTTCGCTCTATTACTCCTTGACTTGGTCAATCGGTAAAAGCGAAGGTAACAAATGTCTCTCCAATAAACCACCAGTTTCTCCGTCGTCGTTTCCAATTCTCTCAATTGCTTTTCAAGCGTACTCACTTTAAAGAAGTTAGAAATATATTATAGAGGTTATATTACCTTCCGCACAACTGTTTATGACATCTGAAAAATATCCGACGAGTTCTCGTCGTTTGTATCGCGAAGCGAGACAACTGCGTTCCAACTCGGCAAACAATCTGTCGAAGTAACAGTCAATAAGCACTTCCATCTTCCCAGGATGATAACAATTTTCTCGATAAACGTTATCACGATAGTTAAAAAAAAAAAAGAAGAAGAAAGATTTCAACAAAAATTTAAAACGTCTGATAGTATAAGTAACGAAACATTCTCATGATTGTCGACCTCTGAATAATCGACTACATGTTAACTGAACGAAAGTACGAGAAGGGAGCTAATTCATTTAAGCCTTACGTAAAGTATTTTAAGGGCTTCACTGTTAAATTCTCTCCTATGCTATATTTGCTAACAATTTTTACGTTTTCAATTGCGTATCATGAAAACTGATTAATTTTATAGAGAAAACTTAAATCTTTGATTAGAAACGAAATAAAATTCGAAGAATTCATTTGATATTGTTTACTAATATAAATTTTTTGTTATTTTAGGTATTTGTGCATGCCAGAGAATCAAGATCCTCAATTTCTATTGGAATACAGAGGTCCAGTCACTATGAAAGGAAAATCCGAACCAATGAACGTATGGTTCTTGTCTAGAGAAGTGGAACTAAATGCATAATTTGATCAGCGAGTAGAATAATTCCAACTATCCTTGAAACTATCGTTACAGCAATAAAATGGGAGATCCCTATAGAATATTAACTTCTACATAATATACTTTAACGTGAAATTATAAGTTGCAAGTCGGTGGAAGAGCTCTGTGTGATCCATACGTTTAAGAATTGATTAATCTCGTCGCTCTTTTTCATAATAATAATATGTATATGTATTTGTCGTATATTTGCTCGTAGAAAAGATTTACAGTTCCTCGACGTTTAAATATCCTGACGTCAAATGTTTTAAACATTTTCTTTGTTTGTTAACTATATATTCTATATTCTATATATATATATATATATATATATGTATACATACATGTATGTATCTTGAGTGATAAGAAATATAATCGTCTGAGATTTAAATGCTCATTGATGTTGATATTCGACATACGAATAATTCGATAATTATTAATGAAAATCAATTAAAGAAGATTTCTTATAAGAAAAAGTCGTAGAATTTTCTTTAAATTTTATTCATTTTTTCAAATTTAAACCAGCCAGAATGTTTAATCCTATTGAATCGGATAGAATCGAAATAGACATAAAATAAAAAATAAACAGGTATCACGAGAAACAACCGCAAGAATGTACACGGTTTTAAGATGTAACGGAATCTTTTCCGATCTTTTACATGACCTATGCACGTTACAAGGTCAATCGAATGAGTACCGTAAAAGCGTTAATTATTCGTCTATCGTAACTCTTCCTTTATTAGTTCGACGTATGTTCTTCATTTTGCGTTAGAAAATAGTCCAAACGTACTGTGCGATCGTAAAAGTCTAAAAAAAAACGACACTAGGATGTTATATCTTAGATAATAACGCGTTTCTACGAGTCAGGCTTTATTGCCAATATTCGTCATGTTCGTTAAAGTGATTCGTATAATCGTACTGTACTATAGCAAAGTGGTATGCAGGCTACAAGTTTCACGTTGTCGAAGAAAAAGTGAACACACTACTCTCGACCGGTTTACCGGGTGAGGCACGCAGAAAATAAGGCCAGATAATAAAGCGTGTACAAAGCCGACCTCTGGATTAGGTGGTTTATGTATACGAGCAACCTGCACCGAACGCAATTATTATGGACAAATGAATGGTTCGTGCTAGATGGATTAGATGGAACAGATGGACGTATGGATAAGTATTTGTTATTGTATCTCTCAATACTTCAATGAATAATACTTGACTAATATTTTTTTCTTCAAACGAAGATTATAAGTTTTCTGAGAAAATAAACGAATAATGTATTATAAATTCGTGTTTTTTAAACCAAGCTTACGAGTAATGTTTTAACATGACACTAAAGCGAAACTTTGGCCTGAAGGAATGTATCGTTTATATATGCAACGATGCAAAAGAATACGACATTTGAAGTTAATCATTCTAGTTATTCCTTACGCAATACATATCTTTTTTATTTTCAAATGACATCAATAGTTTTTACGATCCGTTCGATACAACTCGTTTTCTAAGTTGTTGATCATTTTTATCAATTATCCATGCAAATATTTACCATCAAGTGGAATAAGTCTCTTTTATTCTAATAGTAATTACTTATCGATTGAGATTTTATAAGCAAATATTTTAAATCTTTCCGTGCAATGTATATATTTTAATATTAAAATAAATAATTCTATATATATAATTTAAATCGAGAAAAGATAAAAAAACAAAATTAAATGATCGAAGTTAGATCAATGTAATTTACTATATTAAATAATTTCCAGCAAAATAAATCAAATAAAATCCATAAACAATAAATAAATTTATATTATTACTGCAGACTGTTGTAAATCGTTAAGTAAGTCGTTAAATGGTTAAAAAATAAAAACTAAATGATAATGAATAAATGCATTCAACGATTACCGAGTGAATATGTATATTTCTTTGTGCAAAGTTCATGAAAAAACGAGTAAGTAATTTTTACGCATTTTTCAACTGATACGAAGTTCGATCCATTATAGCCGGGAGGACGGACATTCCAGCAATCTTGGTGAAATTTCGGCAGGTGTACAAGATTCCATGGAGTGTCTGTGTTTACGGACGCGCCTATAAAGAGCCAAGGTTCTTCGTGTAAGCAAGTAAGCAAGCAAGCAGGCAGGCAGGTAGATAGGTAGGTAGGTAGGTAGGTAGGTAGGTAGGTAGGTAGGTAGAAGGCAGGTATATAGATAGGTAGGCAAACAGACAGGAGAGGTAGGAGGAATTCTCGTACGGTGAACGGTAAGCAGCAGATATTTAAATGAGAAACCGGATGGTCGGATCCGAGGTGGTTCGATAGAGGACGCCACGTCTTTCTCGTTCCGGCTATGTACCTGCTACGAACGTTTCTAAGAGCCGTTCTCAACACGACTCGACGAGCACCTCAGCCGTTATTCTTCTCTCTTCTTGCCCCACTCCGAAAAACTACTCCGACGTTCCATCGGTCCCCTCCTCTCCCCACTCCGAGGAGTCTTAGGAACGCCAGGAGAAACAGCAGCAGCACCTTTCTCAAGTCGCACGGGCCCCGAGAGTAGTCTCGGTCCCCACCCAAGACGGGCGACTGCATGAGTGAGTGTCAGCAGCATTCAGTACAGTTACTGACGGCCCCGCGCTGTGAACCGTTGCTGTTGGCCGTCATCGTCATCGTCGTCGTCGTCGTTTTCATCGTCGTCGTCGTCGTCGTCGTTTTCGTTCTTCGTCTTCTTCGTCCTCACTGTCGTCTTCGTTGTCTTCATTCTCTTCTCCGTCGCGTTCCTCATCGTCTACTACTCGTCGGACTCGAGTCAACTGGCTTTACTATGCGTAACTCTTGATACACATATGCAGTCCGTAAGTGGAGTGCTCGCTAATCTCTCTTTCTCCCTCTATCTATCTTGATTTTTTTCTTTCTTTTTCTCACTCTCTCCTCCTCTCCGCTGCAGGTACAAGCAGCTGTTTTACTATCAAAGTAATTGAAACATTTCCGTTTTTCTCCAGAACATGGAACTCTTTTTTTTATGATATTTCAATGAAGATGTTTACTGACAATGAGTTTAAACTATTTCAAAATCGATTAAAGTTTTGTTTCTTTATTTAAAAGGATGGATTTTTTTCAATATATTTAATAGTTAGATATGTTTTTGATTGATAGCTTTTTATAAAAAAAGATATGATTCTATGACTTGCATTGGATTTATTTACTTCATAATCCGTTTTATGCAGTATAGTATGTTCGTCAAAGCATTGTCATGTGTTCTGTGACATTATTACGTTACATTAACAAAGTTATAATTGTTTCATAGTTTGCCTAGTTAAGTTCCTTAACTTTCAAATTCCGCGTTAATTATTTTCACATGGATAACATGTAATTGACATTGTTGAAAGTTCGACGTGTTTACGCGTCATCATTGAAATATGTGTTTTGGACATTGCTAGCAGGTAAGTGATTCACGGAGAAAGGAAAGGTCAATGAGAGAAGGCCGATTTGGTTAGTGTTCCTTCTCGACAGAATGGTAGAACCGAAGGAGAAAGGGAACTGGAGTCGTGTGCTAATAGATAGAAGAATTAACATGATATATATTATAGCAGTGTTAAACTTAAATCGATTATATAGATTTTATAAACACATTTCTAATATTATAATCAATATTTAAAAATATTAAATAACGATTATAAATAGTTAATTTTTATGTTTGAATTCCATTGTTTCATTTTTAACTTTGATATAGAAACAGAAAGAGAAAAAAAAGAGAGGGAGTGAGAAAAAGAAAGAGAAAGGAAAAGATAAGAAGAAGAATAAGAGTAAACAAAGGTAGTAGTAAGGAAAAGGTAAATATAAATATCGATCTACAAGAGCAAAGTGCTTTCGAATGTAGGTACGTATGGACGAGGTTAGCACGATGACCGTTCTACCACCACTACCGGCGAAGACTCAGAGTCGAGATGGTAACCAAGTCGCTCGGCAGACTGTGTCAATCCGGACAGCTTCCCCTCCATCTTCTCCAGCTTTGAGTACAGGTGCTGGAGCAACGGTATTCGTTGGTTCTCGGGCCGTGGATCCTACGGCAAGTATCAAGAGACGAGTCCCGGAAATACAAACCTCCAACGGCTACGGTAGGCAGACCATCGTCCAGCATCAAGAGCAACAACATCAACATCAACTACAGCAAGCGTCACATATAGTCAAGATCAAGATTAATCCGGATGGGGATAAAAACGGGAAGGTGATATCAGCGGTAAGATTGACCTTGGACGGAAACGAGAAGAATAACGGAGTAACGTGCGAACGTTCGCCCGTAGCGGAGCGCGACGGTGCTGTGTTGGTGAGTGCGACAAATCTTGTGAACGAGAACCTTCGCGAGAGTGGTGTTGTTGGTGAAGGTTGTGTGAGAATTAGTGTAGGAGGTGACACCTCAAGAGATAAGAAAATTTGCTCGTACGAGCAGGACACCGCGAACAATAACGATCAAACCGACAAGAATAAAAATAACAGTAACAACAACAACAACAACAACAACAATAATCGTAAGAAGAATAACGAAGTTATGGTGCAACGCGCGACATCGGAGACACCGAATTCTTCTCCCTTGACCAATCGATCTAGCAGCTGCATTTATTACAATTCTTTTCAAAATCCACTTAACACCATGGTGATGTCCAGTGGACAGTGTTCACCTAGCGATACCTTGGATAGTGGAACTTGCAGCGACTTGGATGGTACACCTCCTCCTTTACCCAAGAAGAAAAATATAAACAAGGATATCGGAGGTGGTACCAGGGTTATACTATCTGTAGGAAAACACGATCTTACCGGTAGTTTACTTACTAGTAGCGGCGCTGAATTAGATAGCGACGATAATGAGAGTAACATCAGCTGCGATTCTTTAAACGGTGGCGAGCTTAACGGTAGTATAGTTTCACGAAATGTCAATGGGACCAAATCTTCAAACGAAAATGATCAAGAGAGCGTGGAGTATCAAGAACGTATACGTCCAAGAAGTAATGATCTTGGAAGAGTAGTCAAGGATACCGAAGAACGAGTGGAAGAGATCGAGGAACTCAATGATGTTCATCGGGCTAACTCTGACGATCTATTCAGAGAAGAATCAGCATCACCTAGCGTTTCTCCATCCCCTTCTAGAACTTCCTCTTTGTCAAAAGCTTCTTCAACACCAAGAATTAGGAGTCCAGAGCTTTTCGTTGATCAAAACGGTAGTGGCACTACCTCTCCGGTAGTTCGAGAATGCACCTACGAAGAGAGAAAACAAGAACAGGAAAGAATAGAACAAGAGAATGCTGCTGTAGAGTTCTACGCGAACTATAATCGATCGAGCGGCAACAAGTATGTTTACGATGACGACAGATTCTACAAGTTCCACTTGAACGAGTTAAGAAACGATAACAATGACGATACAAATAAAGAATCTAAGGAACCTGGAGCTCTCGGGGAAAAAGAAACGGATGAGTGCTTTGCTGGTTACAAGATTCTCGAAAGGGAAGCCATACGTAGTGCCAAGGGAACCGTGCGTGGTGTTAAAAACAGAGTTCGCGCTGGAATAGCAACCTTTCTACAAAAACCATCTTCCAAGGTTAGTATTTAATCAATTTTGTTAATCGAAATTTTATCGTAACATTTATTTAGTTCTTTTTTTTCTTCTGATATAATTTCATTTTCAGAAAAATTCGCTTTTAATTTAGCAAATTAATTTCATTAGAAATTGCGAAGTACGATTTAATAAAGTCCATCATACGTTCTACCGTGTAATAACCGAGTTGTATTAGTCCAATTAATTCGTTGAGAAATTACTTAATTGGAACTTGGCCACAAAATTGGATATATGATCCGAGTAACTACAAATTGGAAATTAAATTCATACCATACTTTTGAGCTTAACTTTGGCTTCGGATAGAATGTTTCGATCGTTTTACGGTGTACTTTGAACCAATGTTATTTCGTTTTAAGAAGACATAAATACACGCGTAGAATTCACGAAGGTCTTTTGTACAAATGGAATGTTGAATGGGCGTGAAATGCGGTGTGTTGACCTAGAGAACCAAACATGGAGTTAGTTATTATTCATGGAATTCGATGTTCTATTTTGAGGTGTAACAAATTAAGATATAGAAAATTGGAGAAATATTTTTTCCTTTCTTTTCTCTCAAATATACAATTTTTGAAAACCCTAAAATACTTTATTTAATACATTTTTTTATGCTCGCGACTCTTGACAATTCTCTCATTAACTCGAAAAATAAACATGCGCCTAATTACATAATTATTTTGCTCCATGCACTGATTTAAGAGATAAGGTCGTGCCACAGGATTTCCGATGTAATAAATTGTATTTTCTAACCGCTTTTAATCACGACCGTTGAACGTGAGAATAGTAAAAGTCAGTCCTAAAAAAAAAAATAAAATCGTAATTATATGTAAGACTCAAGATTTGACCATAAATTTTATTATACATATTTTTCCGTAGATTAATTAATTGTTTTCATGGAAATCAGATCATTTACGTATAAAAATTACAAATACAATGAACGTCCGATGATACCGTACGATCGAATCAGTTTCACCAGACAAACCACTGGCTTGCTAAAGTGAGCAAGCAACGTGATATCATTGAGATAACTCATACTGCCTTTACATGAATTCGATACGATTACTTATTGGCATTTCAATGATGACATTCAAGAGATATTACATTTATCTAATTCGTACGATCGACTAAATGATGAAACAAAATTAGTCGTTACGTTGAAAGAGAAAACGTCGCAATTTTTCATCGCGAATTATACTATATTTCATTAAATTAAATCTAGTAAAAAATAAACATTAAACTTTTCTAATCAATCTAAAGACATTATTCTAAAGATCAATTGATTTTAAATTTAAAATAAAGAAGAAGATTTAATTTTAAAATTTGATAAGAAACCATATCAAACGTAAACCGTAGAATTAGCTTTTGGAGGTTGATATTCATACGTTCATCGATTATCGATCTAATTGTAAGGATGAAATTTTTGGTGGACCATTTGCTTAACTCTTTCATTTTTTTGCTGTTCAGTAAGATTTCAACAGCAAAAGGTTTCCGGTGTGTTGCTATGCGAACGTTGCTATACGACGTGCGTAAACGACGATCGTACGTACTGTCGATGCGGAACGGATCGACATAACGGTAGATCCGATAAAGCGATATTATGGCAAAGGCACGAGGAAGAAACACATTGCTTGTTCTGACTTCGAGTTTCGTATTTCTTTCTTCTTCTTTTCTTGACATTATTTTTGTATCTTCTTTTTCTAACTTTCTTTTTATATGATCGAAAAGAAACAGAAATTATCGGTAAGAAATTTTCTTATGCGTTAGAGATCGAAATTTTTAATTAGGATGATTAAATAGAACGATTCGAATGTTGAGAACATCGTACGAGGCGATAATAATTTGCTTATTTTAATATTAGAAATTCGCATGATCATAGATATGATAATTACATAATTTTATATCTCGATAATCGTTCTCGATTATGTTTGATCACTTTTCAATGAACAGCTCTATAAAGATAATGGAATATATTTTATATTTCACATTTTTCATCTTATTATTGTTTAAATTTGATTTAAAAATAAATACCTTTATGAATTAATTAGCTATTTTTATTTCTAATAGTGTTTCGGAAGCTTCGTTCACTCATTGCCTTTCGTCCTTTCACAAATTTTTTATCGCGATTGTACTGAAGATTATATAGGTACGAACGTTCTCGCGGCCCGCATCATGAAATTACAGAGCGTGGATTGTTGGTTCGTTCGTTCGCTCACTAGCTAGCTAGGCAGATAGAAAATTAGTTTGCAACGTTCGGTTAAAAATGACGTAGAAAATTCTCTTTAACGTTACAACGTGTACAATGAATTGGCATGGAATACTATTAATCATAATATAAAATCAAATAAATGTATTGGAGGTATAGTAAGCGACATGTAAGAAGTCAAGATAGAAAGAGAGAGAGAGAGAAAAAAAGAAAGAAACAAAGATTCTTTAGAAATATTATGAAAAATTAGATTTTGTTACTTACATACGACAAATCAATTCGTCTTAACATAGGATAAAATAAAAGACGACGTGCCCTTTGTTAATGCAACACTTGATTTTGCTCTAATAACTAATACACGTATGTACTACCATTATAAATAGTTATATTATTCTTCTCACATCTGTTACGCGTCTTCCTCGCGTTTTAGTTTCTTTAACTTCCGTGCAGCTGTCCAGAACGGATTATGCAATCTCCGATGCATAAGACTCACCGTGAAAAATTGTAGAAAATCGTTAGAACGGTTCACACCAACTATAATAATATCGATAATGTTTGAAAAATTCGAAAGTCACTTCGATAAATATCGAATCTTTCCTTGCTTTTCCATGAACGAACTCGTTTTCAACAGTGGTTACTGTGCTAGATAGTTATCGAGGTAAAGTGATTTATTCTTCGAACGAAGAAACATAATAGCCGTAAAAAGCATTCGTTTTACCGATTTGGTACTATCGCAGGGTGATAGTAAATTATGTTAGACGTTTAAGGATCGAAGAGAGAACACGTGTCTCCGGTTAATAAACTTCCCCTTCCAGTCATTGGATACCAAGTTATTAAGCATCGCTACACTCCTTGCACATTCTCGCACGAGGTTTCACCGAATGATATTATATACGGTTACACAACGACAACAATTAAAACGTTACACTTTTATTGATAGGCTACTATGATATTCTGATTACATAGTAGTCTATATATCTATGCAGGTTTAATACGTCTACAGTTACCTTCAGTTTCTATTCGGAAGCTAGGTATGTAAATAAGTATTTATATACATCTTTCATTCTGGAACGTAGGATTGGTAAACCACAAGAATTCAGTCGACCCATTTTATTACACGAGAATTTAATTAAAGAACTTTTGTCGTTTTTGACGACATCACGATCCTCTTGAAATGTTTTTCTTCCGTTTAATAAATGTCTCGACGACTATGTGAATTAATTAGAACACAGCCCTTGTGGCAAAAGCTATTAAGTCGATAATTTCAATTCTCGGCTGAAAATAAATATTTTCACGATGGATAATGAACACTCGTATAAATGGCGACAATTAATAGCGACCCGATATTATCGAATCTTCTGAGATTTTTTAATACAAAAAAAGAACTTTCATCGAGTTCCGATTTATTGAGAGTCTTGTCCTGAAAATTTATTTGGTAATCATTATCTATATATATATAATATAATAACTAAACATATATTTCAAGCGACAAGTTATTCTATATACTATACGTTACAATATGTTATATAAATATATATATAATTAGTGAGTGTTGCTTTTCCAAATAGAACAACGCTTTAGAAAGATCACTTTTTGAGTTCCCTTTTTACTGTCTAACAAAGTTGAAGTCAATTTTCGAATAAACTGTTTCAAACTAATTGTAAGCAAAGAAGGAGTAAGAACGGATATTACATTTCAGAATCGAGATTAAATGCGGAGTCATAAATGACTGTATAGTGTACTAACACCTTTACTTACACCATCATACGCACACGTAAAAGAAGTTTAATCACTGATATAAATACCTATAGCTTGTGCAGTTACCTTGCAACAATTTCTACCTACCTATATACGGCAAACATTGCAGTTAACGACAGTAAACGCGAAATAGAAACTGTGATCTAAAACTGAATCCGTAAAGGCACCTTTTCATTCTTTCTAGATCGACCCTAATCTTATATTTATGTTTAAATATATACTACGGACACATCTGCTATCGTGTTTTTTATTGACAATTATAGAGAAATTACTAGACTTTACGATCGCGGAATACAATGACGAAAGTATTGGCAGCTACGTATTCTCCCTCTCTCATTAGCGTGAATTTTTAGATCTATGAAGTATGTTAACATTTCTGAAAGGGTGAATGTCCGCTTACGTAGAAACTCGTATTTGTCTGATATATTAAAATAAATACTTTGATTTCTCTGAATTTTATCAAAAGGAACTTTCTACCTTTTATTTCTCAACATCGAATTTGCTCTATTTAATTTGTCAATAACTTTATTATAGACTTTCATTGTGTATGTGTGTGATCATTGCAACTCTTAAAGATTACCATCGGTATCAATTTCGATGGAAGTAAATCGTATGTTCAAACGCTTTCTTTATCGTTGTATACCCGAGTTTATGTTGAAAACGTGAAAACTTTAATAACAATGACTACTCGAGCGTATATATTTTATTACTTTCGATAGAAAATATGAGATAACTATGTAAGGAAAAAAAAAGTAGATTTTAAATGTCTTATACGTAATTAAATAATGATTTCTCATTCATGAATACACATCGAGTGCAAATTTATGCATGAATTGTATGTATGATCTTGAAAATATTATATTTAATGTCTGTGTATAAATCGTGGAAAACTACATATAATATTATATTTTCATTTGTTTGTTTATTTATCATTTAAATCGTATTGTAAATCAATTAAAATTATAAACAGTAAAAATTGTATGTAAATATTAATATGAATTTTGTTAGAAGAATAGAAATCATT